ACGGAATATTCTAGGAGGAGGATCCCTCTCGTGCAGCAGTGCCTGATGGGAGAAATGTGTTGTACTGTAAGTTCCCCATGTAGTCCCCTCTAGGAATGCCCCTGGGAGGGGACTCAGGAAACCCCTTGCATGGGGACTTTTTATAAATTGTGCAGCAGAATTAAAGGACTTCAGTTGACTCTCAGAACTGTGTTTCGTCCGGTTACTGGGAGGTTGGGGATATTGCCTTGTTGTTTCAGCGCTTGACTGTGGATTACTTCCTGAACCAGCGGAACTCGTGGATTTAATATTGGCGTTCCGCTACACTGCTGATGTGATTGCTGTGTGTGAATCTGCAGCAGTAGCAAGTTAGGCTGAGCAGCAGTTGGTCAGATCACAGTAGAGTCTGACCCAACATGGCCGCTCAGCCAGAAAAATTGTCACATTTTCTCAAAAAAGTCTATATACATTGTTTAAACAATATCTTGCTAAATGTTTAAAAAATGAGAAGTGAAAATGTGATGACATCTGTCCTTTAAATTCATAAGTTGACGAGTAAAGGTACCTCTTCCATCCTGACCCTTGCTCCCATTCTCTTTGTACTAAGTACTAACCAGCCTAAAACCTGAAACGCGTTGGTTAATAGTAGGCCAGATTTATCACACATAGTTTCTGGTAGAGAAGGATGTGTCTTTGTTGTGCAGTCCCAGAATTTCATTTCTCTCCTTAAGTGATTAAAAGCATTTGCATAAAACACAAAAAATTCATTGTAAGAAGCTCAGTGGGAGACGAGAAAGTGAAAGGAAAATGACTGCCTTGGTCTCTGAGCAGAGAAGGTACCAATCACTCGGTCTGCCAGAGTGCGAGCACACCAAAAGGCGGCTACTATATGGAAAGTGGAGATCTATTCACTAAGGACATGGTTTTAGGTGCAAACTGTGATGATACAAACTTGAGGATTAACCCCAAACTAAACCTCACATTTTTATCTAAATTCTCAATTCATATTTCATTCATCTTTTTCAAATCTGTCCGTCAATTTTTTTAAAATATGCCCCAGATACATTAGTGCTAAGATTGTGTTTCTTCAATGCCATGCAAAATATGCAAATATGCAAGCTATTGAACGGCAACTTATTGAGTTCCTCTAAGCATTTGTCCGATTTCAGAGTTCTCATATGTTCTGTTTTGTCGCAATGCATTGGGCTCTCAATAAACTAAAAGGTAATCCAGAGGTGGACCCTGTGCTCACTGTGCCTAGAAGTGTGTCAGCCCAAAGAAGGTCAAAACGATCATCCGGGGTTACTGTATCTCTCGTGCAGAGAGATCTCGCAGGCATTTCGGTTACTGGCATTTAGGTTCTGAACTGCTGTGTATCATCCCCTCTGCCTTTGCTTCTTCAGCCCCTCTCCCAAACAGGTATCCATGCATCCATCTAGAGCGTGATCAGCTCCCAGGTATAGCTTTTTCTTTATTTTGCTACAGGCTACAGGGACCAAGAAGCCAGCTAACAGGCCTGAAGCATCTGTTACTGGGATCCATGAACAAATTAATCAGGACACACAGTTCCAAAAGGAACTAACACACTCAGCTTTATTTTTTACTTAGAATTAGCCAATATGCACATTACATTAAACTTACCTTGACAACCTCAATAAAATACAAATAACCAAATCATACAGGAACTTATAATAACACATTAACATATTGATAAAGGGGTGGGGAAGACAATAACAAACAAAAAATATATCCCCTGCTTGCAGAAATCATAATATGCAAATCTATCTAAATATGCAAATTGTTAAGACACTCCCGGCATAAAGGAGTAAACTCGCCGTTTAGTAGAGCTTCCCCTTTGCAGAGATACAGGCATGACTACTTTAGAACTCAAACTCCTGAACTGGAACCAGGGGAATGCGCCTATCTCCCGAACAGCATACTTAGTAACACTCCAAACTCCTGAACAGTAATCCCACGAATCGCTGCTAACAGGCGAAACCGATATAGCATCCAAGCGGCTGACGTTCCCAGCAATCAGTCTCTAGCTGCATATAGTAAATCCCCCCAATCACGAGACTAAGCTCCTTATTGAGGGTAAAACAAGATCTGCTTTAATGAGGGCTACCTGCCCGTATTTATGCAGGTCTCCCACTTGGTGGACACTCCCCTAGGGGACCAAATGGGAGACTGTAACCACGGACAGACAGATATCAGATCAAGACATACAGTCACAATACATCCCCACAATGCATCATGGCTTCCTCCTCTCTGCCCTGGAGATAATTGAGAAGTAATTAAATTATCTCCCAGGACAAAGACAAATTGCCATTATGCACGTGGGGACAACAGGATAGACATTACTGTTAAAATAGAAAGTGTTAAAACTGTTACAATAAATATAGACATGTAACATACCCACAGATAGCTCAGGTCTGAGCGTACATTATTAGGTGAATGGCGCTCAGACCACACAAATACAGTGTAATTGCCATGGAGCCAAAGTCTTTAATTTCACGAACAGACTCCATGGCATAGCTATCTGGGTACTTTCACATAGAATACATTATAAAACACAAAGTCCCGAATGCTCCGCCGTTCAGTTCACTAACGGAGCTGAAGACCCGTAGGCTGGTAGTTCAGCGGTGCTTGAAAGGAAAAGTGTCCCCTTTTGGGGTACTGAGGCTGGGCAGAACAACGTTGGCTGCCCGGGGAGCTCCATAACACCGCCATCGTGTAACGGCTAGGTGTAACGGTTAACCGCAGATACTGGGTGGTCAATTGCCGGCACACGCTAGCTTCAGGAGGTAGATTAAAGCCACACTCCAGCTTAACAAGGGGGTTGTACGGGTAAAGAAATAACCGAACAAACAGACGAATGGAGGAAGGAGAAACATAATCCAAAAACAGACGGTTCTGTCACACAAATTACCAAGTCTGCTATTCTGGCAGTGCACATACAGTTGCAACCAACAGGTGATGCTACACATAACACGTGGCACTGGACAGGTTCCACAGCCAAATCCACCTAGTTGGTAGAAAGCATCAGCAAGAGAGGAGAGCATATAAACCATCTAACCATTAAAAACAATATACACCTGTGAAGAAAATAGACTGAGTTCGGTATTTTCTCCTATGTTCTGGCTTTTTCTGCAGTATTTTGTACATGTTGAATCTATTGGTTCGGTAGTTTAAAACTACCGAACACCGACCACCCTCCTGGCTCATTAACTACAAAAGAACCATCTATTAAGCGCTCTCTGGGCGGCCGCTGTTCGTGTAGCCGAATGCCACGTGGAACAGAAAACGGCGGCCATCTTGTTTGCACGAAAGGAGGCAGCGGGACTTGGTCGTCGAGTGTCTGGAACTAAAATCGGACACCACCTCCCGAACCACCGCTGAAACTACCAAACGCCTGCTTCCTGTATTTGCCGAACAGCCAGGAGAGCGCCATTCGGTAGTTTTGTTCATAGGGGAGCAATCGTTTTATGCCTTTTTCTGAATTGACCGGCCGCACACTCTGTGGTCGGTAACTTGTAACTTCCATACTTTTTAAGAACCCCTGAACCGATCTGGGTGAAATTTGGATATGTTGGTCCCCCAGATTGGGGCTATCAGGGGATATGTATGTGGGGATACCTTGTGTGGAAAGTGGTGTTCTTACTTTTGGGGAAATTGTGTGCCCTCTGCCTGGAGATAATTGGGTTATTCCTTAACTTATCTCAATATCTCCCAGGCAGAGAGAGGGCGGGGGTTACTGTAAATCTGTATGATGATTGGTTATTGTCTTTGTTTACTGTGAGAGGTCCTATTGCAGGAGGATTTCTCATAAAAGCCAGTGTGTCATCAATAAATTTCATTCCTGTTACACCCTTCATGAATTCTAGGCTCATGTTTGGGGAATATTCTATTTGCTGGGGAGAATCATCTTGGAAGCTGCATTCATCTACACTATTCCTCTACCTCCTACTGCAGTTATAATCACTTATGCTCAGCTGTTGGGAAAGGAATAGAAGACCGTAGTACTATAACCACTGCAGGTCTTAACAACACCCTGCACCTGTAATGGGCACAGGGTGACTTAAACATAAGAGGCATCTGGCAAATTACAAGAGGTGTCAATCATACACGAACAGACAGTTCCATAACTCCAACAGCAAACCCAGTAATACGTAATCCCAACCCAAGGGGGATCAACTCGGTAGAAAATGGAGGCCAACAGTTACTAAAATAGCTGCAACAGAGAAAGGGCAGAGATTATATGGTCCAAGCGATGGTGACTACCAGCACAACTGCCCTTATGGATGGGATCAGTCTGATGTGCAAATGATATACGTTCCCTCTGTAATAGCACAAGTGAGTGTAATTGAACAAAGGGCAAGGTACTGAGTTTCTCAAAGATTTTGCCCGTTCTCAGATTTCTCGTATTCTCTGTTTTTATTGCAATCCACAGACACAGACAGCATTTTCCCTTTTCCCAAAACATCAGTTCATTGAGATCATAACCTGTGTGTTCACATTAAGAGTTTGGTCACAAACACCAAATTATTGCAAAAAGAGTTAACAGAAATTTGGGTCATAAATATGAGAAAGTGGTAATGTTGTAATTGTCATATCTGTACCTCCCTCGACCACAATGTAGAACTGAACACAAATCGAAACTGAAACAAGGTGAATCCAACAAACGTGACCCGAACAGGAAGAAGGAGAACTGACCGGGGTTTGTGTATAAAGATCTGGGGCATTTCCAAAATTAAAATGTTGTGCCTGTAAGTTTAAAACGTTTACATCCATTTTACACAGGTGAATGCATGCATGCGTGGGTGTAGGGACTTGGGGGAATGGGCTAGTGAAACACCCCAGAAAATCTGGTGTAGCTTTTAAAATAATATTTGTGGATAGGATTATTATGAAAGTCCGTCTTCCCAGATTTTCTTTGTTTCCTGCACCGATGTTACTGGTTCTTAACCTCAATGTGCCGAACATCGGATTAAGATTAATTGTAAAACCATTGACATGTAGGGCAAGGAAGTCCACGCTAATATATAAATTGTCTGATATGGAGGCAGATCATTTGACGGTAGTTGGGAGCTTCGTCTTCCTCATAGAGATGGACTGTCCTCACTAAACATTCTCTTACTTGGTATGATGTCAACCTGGGGTCCTAGAATCTGTTAGACCTAATCTCCCCAATCTCCAGAACCAAGGACCCGTCTCAATGGAGTTACCTTCTTTTCAGAAAAATCAACTAACCTTGGCATGATAAACTTGTTAAGACACTCCCGGCATAAAAGAGTGAAACCGCCGTTTAGTAGATGTTCCCCAAACTCCCGAACAGAGAATCATACAAACTCCTCCTCCCCTGGAACAGGCGAAAGAATACTCCAAAGTAGCAATCCCCCCGAACACGAGATCAAGCTCAGTCTTGAGGGTAAAACAGGAATCTGCTTTAATGAGGGCTACCTGCCCGGTATTTATGCAGGTCTCCCACCTGGTGGACACTCCCCTAGGGGACCAGATGGAAGACTGGGACAAGTATGATACATTAGCCAATCACAGTGGCTCAGACATAAACCCTCCCCTTTGTACAAGCAACCCCTCCTCTCTATCCTGGAGATAAATGGGAAAAAAATCTAATTATCTCCATGGATAGAGGCAAAACGCCATTTTAAATAATACAGTAAAAATACATAAAATTCCATAACTTCAAAACCACTGAATGCATTCCACACGTTTCGCCAGATAGCCTAGATCTGAGCGCACATTATTACTGAATGGCGCTCAGATCCAATACACACAGTTCAATCGCCATGGAGCCAAAGTCTTTCACACTGTTCTTTCGGTATACGAAGGGCTCCATGGGATGGCTATCTGGGTCTCGAACGGACCGGTGTTCGTATGCTGGATAACAAGGAATGGAGGTCGATGGTTTTCAACGGTGTTTGGGAGAAAAAGTGTCCGTTTTGAGTTCCATAAGTTTGTCGACGAACACCGCTGTGTATTCGTGCATCTAAGATGGCCGCCGCCTCATGGTCGGCATACGAACGACGACCACCCAGCATACGGTTTCAATTAGGAGGTGTCTGCGGTTAACCACAACGTTCGAATTTTGGCCAATAGGTTAACCAGCAGCACACTCCTCTTCTGGTTGGCCGGCCGTTCGGCAGTTTGTTCGGTAGATTATCAAACAAAAGAATGGGGCAGTATGGACAGGCAATTACACGAATCCATTGGGAAAGCATTATAGTTCTAAGACAGAGGGATCTGTCACAAAACCTCACACAACATTAAGCACTTAGTTAAAGATCAGGTTCCATGCATCACATCAAGACGTGTAGATAGACATTCATTGTGAACAATACAGAATAAGAGATATTATCTGTGTTTTATTTTACTTCAGTATACCTGTTTTATCTCGACTCTTCGTGTTCTAGATATCTACATGTATTTGTACAGCCATTGTTAGAGACACTCGATTACATCAAGCTACAGAATAAACGTAGAACAATAATAAAGAACTGTCACCAACGATGATAGTGGTAGACAATGTTCTCACAGTGTGCACAATGACAGTTTAACATATAATGAAACTTCATTATCTCTCTCCTCGCATGTCCATAATCTCTGTGTGTATGCAATGAGTGTTTATTACCACTCAACAACACTGAAAAGAGACCCCGATAATATGAGCACTGTAAGAGGACAACATGTGGGATATTTATCAAAGTAGCATGATCTGTAAAGTTGTGGACATTATAAAAGTAGATTGATCATCGTTAGAATGTTGCTGCTGATTATATTAGTTTCTACAGTGCTTGCTACAATTTTATAACTTTGCACTACGTTTCAGAACGTAACACTTCTTAATATTATTTAACAGAATGTGTGGGAAGCTGTTTTACTGGTGGAAAAAAGAGGGCTTTTAAAGGCACACTGAGGCTTTAGGAAATGAAATCTATATTCCTGACACTATAGTGTCCCTATGTAGTTTAGTGTGCCCTCTATCCCTATAAAATTAAGAAACTACAGGTTTTACTCAATTTTATCCAGTATTGGACCTCCTCTGGTGATGTCATGGTGGATCAATGGTCTCCTCTGGTGATGTCATGGTGAATCAATGGCCTCCTCTGGTGATGTAATTGTGGAGCTATGGCTTCCTCTGGTGATGTCATAGTGGAGCTATGCCCTCCTCTGGTGATGTCATGGTGGAGCAATGGCCTCCTCTGGCGATGTAATGGTGGAGGTATGCCCTCTTCTGGTGATATCATGGTGGAGCAATGGCCTCCTCTGGTGATGTAATTGTGGAACTATGCCCTCCTCTGGTGATGTCATGGTGGAACAATGGCCTCCTCTGGTGATGTCATGGTGGAGGTATGCCCTCTTCTGGTGATGTCATGGTGGAGCAATGGCCTCCTCTGGTGATGTCATGGTGGAGCTATGGCCTCCTCTGGTGATGTCATGGTGAAACTATGGCCTCCTCCGGCAATGTTCTCATGGAGCTATGGCTTCCACTGTCCATGGCCAATCCAATACTAGTCCTCACAGAGTACAGATCCCAAGCTTCAAGTAGGAATGCATTATTTTCAATGTTTTCCTATGAATTTTTATCCAATGCTTTTCCTATGAACCTCCACATCAATGCAATGGGCGTGTCTCTAGTGGTTTTCAGGAAGACAGCCACTAAAGGTGGGTTTATCCCTCTAATGAATACCTTGCTGTTTCTACATAACGTCAGTGATTTACATTGTAGGAATATAAAGACAGGATCACTGCACCTAGACCATTTCAATTAGATAATATGTTCTGAGTGACTATAGTGTCCCTTTAAAGTCACAAACCAACACTAGTCTCTGCTAGTCTCACCCTCAACACCCTCAACTAAAGACTTTCCCAATAGCAATCTACAGACCCACAACAGTCTGCTGCAGTGGTTATAGTGTCTATAGTCCCATGGTGCCATCACAATATTAAAACTGCTTTAAAATGGTTTGTCACTTATGTGGACCCAGGCAAATGATGTCTGGCAGACCAGTCGGGCTACCCTTATAGGTGTACGGCATATGTCGGACACAGTGCAGGGGCGCTGCAGCACTGTCTGATGCAGCAATAGACTGGTTCAGAAATCTCCCCAGCCGGCGTACAAACAATATAGGGGTAAACAAATCCAATCTCTTCTGTTAGTGCAGAATGGCGGAATGGTCAGGCGCTTTTTGTCCTGCAATCCAGAGGCAGGGATTTGATATAAAATGATCTATTTGCCCCATAAAGTCACTGTACCACTGTAGGTCATACAGGATTTAAGTGGAGGATGATCAGGATCTGTTAGCTTGGCCATATAGCACGTCTTCACTATTGACATCAGTTCTGCCTGTGTTTGGACGGAATTCATTGGTTGAGTGGGTTAAAATAGGAATTAAATTGCTATATCTATTGTGGAAGGGGCTGCTCTGCTTTAGAAATATCAGAGAAGATTTGCTGTATTGGCCAGACTATTTAAAAACTGTTAGAGTCTTGTATGTGGGAAGGAGCCAGGGGACCCCTGGTACTATAACCGCTACAGCGGGCTGTCGTAGCTATGGTTCTTCTGACCCTTTGTCCAATGCATTTGCCTATGAATAGAAATTGTACCGTTAGTCTATTATGATTTAATAAAAAGAAATGACTGAATAATGAGTTCCCAATCACTTGTTTAACCAGTAGGTGAGGATCTCTGGAATTAAGCCCTATTAAAGTGTGTCTGCAGTAATAAAAGGCTTGATGTTGTGCCAGATGAAGTTCTACAAATGTCTAGATTTTTTTTTCTTCGGTGTGTTGTTTGTTTGCATTATTTAACATTATCTGTGTGCTGTTGGCGTAGGTGTAGAGTACAGCGTTGGGGCCGCGAGCCAGCGGATGGCAATGGATTCTCTTGTATTATAAATTATAATTGTACATAGTACATCTTCATGTGTCAAATGCAAAACAATGGGACAAAGCAAAGCTGTACAGGAACGTTAGGGAAAGTATTCATGGTTTTAATGCCTTTCTTACCTGGGTGAAGAAAATCCCAGCCCTGAGCAGTCATTGGATTTTAAAAGGTTAGCATTGGCTGTGTCTTAGAAATACAACCCACAACAACACTTTCATAAGGAGGAGATGCTAACTCTCTATTTTTAACATTTTCTTTGTTGAAGTAAATATCCAGCATATGTTTTGAAAGCACGATTTACACCATTTTGACACTAATTAAAAACCCATGAGAAAGTATGGAATTAATACATTTGCATGAAATGCCCTATCTGAGCCTTCTGAAGGTGGCCGTGATGCCTTCCTTAATTATCTATAGATTCAAAGTTATTTAAAATATTTACTTTTCCTATGCAGTTTACCTCAAAATGTACAGAACATATATTTTTGGATTAAAACGGTTTCTCTTTAAACTCACTGAATATGAAAAAAGACCAAGAAAAAAAAGACGCTTTTTGTTTAATTCACTTCTCCCTACTTTGCGAGCTGCTAGGAGCTGCTTGGATGGAAGTGATGCTGTCAGTAAAAGGAGCTGTGGAGATGTTTGTTTGTTGCTGATTGGAGCAGATTGAGGAAGCCCCCACTATAATGAAAGGAGTTAACGAGAGCCCCCCTAAATGTTGGAAGATGGCTGCACTGAAGAGACTCTTTGAAGATGATTCATGGCAGATTAAAGATCTTACATGCAGATCTCTCATTACTCTCTAGTGATGTGTCAGAGAAATTGCTCCATCGTATCATGCAATCAGCACTGCCCCCCTTATCCAAGCCATAAGATAAGGCCACAAGTGATAATTCAAAATTGAGAAGAAAACTAATCCTGCCACGTGTAAAGCAAGCTCTTCTACTAGTCCATCTGTGCCGCATTAAAACGAACCGTCTGTAAGAAACATCGATCCTCTCCTGAGCTACACTGCAGGCTTTCATTAGGTGACATTCTGTGCATTATGCCAGCTCTAATCGCTGATATAGATATCTTCAATATAGAACACACTCTCTGCCCATAAATTATACTCCGTGGCATAGCATGTGTGGGGGTGCTGAGGGCAAAATGGAGGGGGTCCCCTCTGAATACATTGCCAGTGGTGCCTTTTGGTCGTGAAAGCAGTAGTTAGTACTTACCAAGAGAACGTATTGTAGCAGAATGCATTTGTTAAATAAACTTTTATTCCTTTTGTTCGGCTGTCCGAACCAACTTTGGTCCCCTTTGTAAACAACTTATAATCACTGACCACCCCTGGCT